GTGAAAAAATGATAGAAAAAAGAAGAAGACATAATTAAGGACATCAAACAATGACTTAATTATGAGTAACTATCAAGGTAATTTGGTAAAAGCATTGCTGCCAAATGCAAATCTCCTTATCGCTGGTGAGGTATCAACAACATAATTGAGTATGGTAGCAACAACTGAACATGCCACCAAATTGTAACACAAGTCAAAGTGTTGGTAAGGGGATCACCCCCTATTTTCGATAACTTGGAAATGAGGTATTCGAATTTGGGATATCTTCAAATATTGAAAAGAAAAATACTAACTAGACCAATAGTCCACAAAAGAAAATACTTCAATTACCATATAATTAGGAGCTCTTACATTTCTGCCAATAACAGTGTGACATGTGTGCATAAGTTTCTCTTTTTATGTTTTTGATGAATTATTTTTGCATTTGTGTCAACCTAATTCGTGGGAAGGAGGCAAGCAATATCCAGAAATCAAATCCTTAATGAGTGTTTGACGATGGCTCAGCCACCAAAACACTTGATAATCAAGTTGGTTTGAAGATTTAGTATTTCTTTTCTGGATAACACTCATCATTGTTGCTATAATAATGAGAAGAATATTACTGATCTTGTTGATTCTATGAATCAACTCATATTTTGAAAGCTATATATCATTGAGTGTTTTCTTCCTCGAAAGGGGATCTAAGATTTGCTATAATTTATTCATCAACTTGGTCTACTATTTTTGAGATCCACTTAAAAAACAGTCCTATATGGCAAAAGCATTAAATAAATAAATAAATAAATCATAAAGAAATAAAATGTAAATCATGGAAATTTTACAGCATCATTTCAATTTGTATGTAAAAGTAACTTTAATTTATACATTAAAAATAAAAAGATGCTATCAATGGGTTCATTTGAGAAGTAAACATTTTTTTAGATTGTAATATGGCTGGAAGATGACCCCATGGCCATAATGATCGAATTGAATTGTTTTGGATGTAAAGCACCTCTCCCCTACTTTTATTTTTGTTACATTAAAACCTTTCCAATCTCTATTGCACATCATATCTAACAAGGCTTTTATTCTTAATTTTAAATATCATTTGAAGAGATGAAAGATTCGAATTTAGGATATTTTTATAATATTCGAAAGCAATTAACGCTAAACCAAGAGCTAATTGTTAGCTTTTTTTTTCTTGTTATATTCATTACTTCACCAATATGAATGAATCAATTAGTCTAAGGGCTTTTTTCGTCTAGCGACAAAAGTTAAGGCTCGTATATTAGATGGTACAGACATAAAAAAGAGGATAGATTTGCTCACCGCCAATTAAAGGCGATGAGCATCACCACTTCTAGCTGGTGTGCATTCTCATTTGTTCTTTTTTTTTTCTTCGGTTTTGTACTGCCGCTCAATAACATGAAGTATCATTCCCCGTAAAACAAATAAGATTAGAACTCGGAATCTCTTCTAACAAAGTAAAGAATAAATGTCCCTACTACAAATAGTTATCAACTTACCTAACAAACATATTAAAACAAGTATAGGTTGCTCTACTTTAAAGAAATGGTATGGTTCACAATTCCTAAATGTCTAGTCAATAGAGGAGAACCTGCTTCTTGCCTATATATGCAATATAATTAATGTTTTGCACTTTATCCATAACATGTATATGTTCAAGTTCATTAAGAACCCTTCATGTCACCCTGTAGATTAGACTTTTGTATGTGCCTTCCAGCTTTGCCAAGGAAACAAACAAACATAGTAACCTGTGAGCTGCATTGGTTTCTAAAAGTTTGAAAGTTGCACTCCAAATTCTTCTTCTACATTTTTTTAAGTACAAGCGATAGTTTGACTTAGAGGGGAGGGGGATTTCACACACACACACAAATGATGTCACAGGAGTTCGAACCTGAAACCTTAGTATGCAAATCAATGTCTTTTTTCACTGAGCTAGACCCTATTAACACAGCCTCTAAATTTTATATAAACATAGTTTACTCAGATACTTTGTACAAAATTAAAAAGTGCGAACTTAAACCATTGCCTCCTTTAATAAAAAGCTACAATGAAGTGAATTAATTAATCTCCAATAAGAGAGTAGTGCCAACAGCATATTCTTGTCTGTTTTAAACAAATCCCACATTTAAGTATAAACCCATTTTCTAATTCATCACAATGATTCTTCTTCTTTTGAGTGTGGGAAAAGGAGGGAGTTGACAATGTAAAAGGTGTGGTCATAATAATGTATATTTTTCCATAAAGTAGGGAAAACTTGTCCAAATGCATGTTGACTTCTCAAAGAGATTAGATGCCATCATTTACTACAAAGATGTTTAGTCAATCTCTTTAATATATGAAAAATCGTTCGATGTTCGCTGATAATTAAACAGTTGATGAATATGTTGATGATCATTTGGTCTATTGGTACTCAGTTTTTACTTTGTTGGAAGATGTCGAATTCAAATCTTATAAACGATAATTGTTGATTGATAAATAATAGCGGTTAAAAATAAATTGTTATTGGTACTCTACAAAAGGGATCCAGAGCCTCTGCATTTAGTATCGATGCATTTACACGCATTTAGAAAAATCTGAATCATTTAATAGATCTAATGGAACTTAAATAAATTAGTTTTTTAAATTTATTAATTTGACTTAAATATGATATGTGAACTGGTTCTCATAGAAAGAAAATCGCACTAGGTATAGATTATGAAGACGGTGGTGTGGGTTTGTTTAATTGCTGCAAAAGAAGAAAAGAAAGTAACAGGCAAAGAACAAAAGTGGAGCTGGGGGCGAAGGGAGGGGAGATTGAGATGAAAAAGTTACAATGATAAGGTGCAAAGTGAGAGTTTTTGTCTAATACAATTATATTGACGTGGATGACTTAAAATTCGTTAGATTAATCAAGTAGTTGATATTTTTCTAAATGCGTATAAATACATCGATGCTAAATGTAGAGGCTCGGAGTCCCTAGAAAAGCCATCATGCACTCCGACAAATGTGATTTCTCACTTATACTTTAAAAAGAGATGGATAACATTTTTGGACCGTCCATAGTAGTTTTAAAAAAAGTTGATGGATGTAAATTTGATTCTGACATCTACAATTATCAATAATTTCAAGTCATTATTAATATAGGTAGAACCTAAATTGTTCTAGTTATTATTATAATAATCTATGGAGTAATAGTATACGCATCTGAGTAACTGAGTTCATAAATTCGACTCTCACTCTGACTCTTATATAGACTATAGAGTGAGTTCATAATTTTATGAATCTGGCATCATCTGAGTTAAAAAAAGAGTTGGTATATCTCCATTACACCACCAAAGGGAAATAAAAATAATTAAAAAGGGGATAAGAGTCAAATCGGCAGAAAATTTTCCACAATGGTAAAGAAAGAAAAGATAAAAAAAGAAGAGACAAAGTGGAAGGAACCTGGTTGCACATCACCATGTTGCATGAAGGCTGCATCTTATAGGTGCAGCCAAACATAGTGGTGCACAACGGGGCCTTGATTGAACCCTAATCTATTGGCTATGGAGCCTCTTAGTAAATAATTGGTGCTTCTTCTTATCAAAATTTATCCCATTCAGAACAGTATTTATTCCTCTGCCACTTTTTTTGAGTGACATCCACAAAATAATTTGGATAATAGTTGTTTAAATAAAAAATAAAAAATAAAAAATAAACTTGTGTATATGGATGACAGCATTTGAAGTTAAAGTAGGACTAAAATATATTTTAATTCCAACTATACTGAACCTATTTTGTATCCCATATTAAAAGTAAGCAGAAAAATTATTACAAAATACATTGAAATTATCTCAACTTTTGCAAAATCTTTGTATCACCACCATTTAGTCATGACTCAGGGAAAATGCTTTTGTGTACTAAATTATTACACTAAAGATCTAACATGTTATAGATCCCAATAAGATGATGCCACCCATATATTAGTTGAGAACAACAAAAGTTGATAAGTGTAGCATTCTCTGTCAATTATTTATTAATGGATTTAGCAAATACTCAATTGGGTAAAGTCCCAAATTCAAAATTTGTTTGGTAATTGCTTAACATCTGTTTCATCATGGCTAACCCTAATTTTCCTACAAATGTTTATTTGTTAAGAGTTTTTTTAATATTTAAACTCAACATTTGAGTTCACTCCGTATTCTAAGTACACCCTATATTCTAAGTAGAATTCACTTTTCTAATTAAAATTCTAATCATTTCTCAGAAAACACAATATGACCAAGCAGCCATGCCTCCACCGCATCTTCACCGCCGCGCCACTATTGGAACATGTGATGAGATAGGACATTTTGTTTTTTTATAAAGAAAAACTAATTATTTGGTTCACACTAAGATAGGATTAAAAAAAAAAAACAATTTAAACATTGCGGTGACTCTTTATGTTTGCGGTTTCTTTATATTTGAAATAAGTCGTAGAGTCTTTTGGGTTCTTTATGTAGTTTTCAAGCTTTATCTCTTTTTGATTATTCTGAGTTTGCAATTTTAGTTGGAATGCTCTTGCCAGAGTCTCTTCAATCCGCCGTGATCATTAGTGGAGGCACACCAAATTATCTTAATTTGATGTTAGATTGTTCCGCTATTGTAATGGCCCTTTAATGCAAATCCCAGGATTTCTTAAATAAAACAAAACAAAACACTGAGGTGAACTCATAAAGATGCTGGGTGTAAATAGAAATTTGCTGGTAAAGAGGTCTAAGTAATTTTGCTGTTTTAATTAAGGTTTTGCCGTCTCTACGAATATAAACAGACAAAGCTTTCGAAAGGTAGGGGGGTTTTTTGTAGTGGGAAGCAAGAAAGTAAGAAAGGAGATGCAAGGAAAGAAAAAAGTTCACTTACTTTTGCCGTTGTCTCTCTCTTCCATATCACAAATCCAGGTTGGTGATCTATGCACAAAAAATCTTTTTGAAAATATAAGTTATTAAAGAATATTATATATGTCTTGGTATCAATATATGTATATACAATTAGAAATTTAAGCTTTAAAAAAGGAAAACAGAAGTGAGAGAGAGAGAGAGAGAGAGAAACCTGGAGGCCGGAACTCAGTTCTCTCAGTTCTCAGACCCTGCTTCAGTTTCTTGGTTCTTTTTCCACAGTTGAGATTTTTCACTTGTTTATCATAAAGAGAAATTAGACACTAGAATGTAATCCGAAAAAGAAATTGGATACTAGAAACTTTCCTTCTGGTTAATGGGTATCCATCAATCATGAAAAATTCATTAACTAATGATTGAGAAAAGATATTTTCTTTTACAAACTTAGATTATTCTTTCTTGTTTTCAGTAATATTCTTTTCAGTTTTTGTTGTTGCTGTTGGGTTTGCTTTATTTTCTGGCCACTGTCCACAAGCATAGATTCTTTCTTCCCATCTCTCTTTCTCTCTCTGTCTGTCTATGTTGCAAGAGCCCTAAGGAATGGATGAATGTGCTCTACTCTGGCTTGGATTCTCTCTGCTATCCTGCTTTTGTCCTTTTCATTACCTCTCCTTTTCATTGATGCTTCTTTCTTTTTGAGTTTCTAGGCGGTTTTTGGCGCAGTGTGTAGCTGGTATGCACACTTCTCATTCATAGTGATGCATATTCACACATGTTTTATTCCATTTTCTCACTGCCCATTTGCCTATAAATACACATTGTCATTCTGGGTTTTCTACATTGCAGTACCTTCTTCTAACTCATTGCAATAGGCGGGCTGTTTAGCACAGTTACAGTTACCCGAAACGCAAAGATGAGCTATTCCCATTCCAATATGTGTTCTGGTTTGTTTCTTCCCTAGCATAGCACCTTTCATTGTCTCAATTTTTTTAAGTCTATAGCTATTAGTTTCTGGAACTCTTTCTGACTGCTGTGAGAGTGTGGTTAGTTGTTTGCTATATTTCCTTCAATTAGGCAACTTAGTGTCTGGTATTCTTTTTCTTTTTAACTTTTAAAGTTTTTTGTTCTTACTAATGATTGCTACTAGTGAATAAGTGGCGATTTTCTTGGTTGAAATCCTAGACAAAAGAGAGGGGAAAAAGAGTTATTATGGTTAACTTGCAGAACCCCATTCATTGTTCCAGCTTAAACTTGTATCGTTGCTGAATAGCCACTTTTTGTTGATAATTCAGGTAGCAGAACTGCTAAAAGAACACTTGAGTTCGGTAGGACACATGTGGTGAGGCCCAAAGGAAAGCATCAAGCCACAATAGTCTGGCTACATGGACTTGGGGATAATGGCTCAAGGTATTTTTTCTCTGCCCTTTTTTTTTTTTTTTTTGTATTTCTTTACTGTATTTGTGAGTGACATATCATACATTGTTGTGCGTCTGTCTCTGAAAGACCTTCTCTTGAAGTCCTACTCTATCTAATTAGGGAAAGAAAAACTTGTCCCACTAATATTTTAGCCCATGAGAGAAGGAAATATGAATAGCAGATAATTTTTATACTCAGCTGTGGGAATAGCAGTCTTCATAGTTAAATAGTTAAGTTCATAACCGAATAGTTAACTTCTATCATAAGACAGTTTTGTGAGAACTCAACAATGATATATTTTGTCTGTATTTGTTGTTTATGCCCTGACTTGTCATCATCAGTTGATGCAATTCCCCATTCCTTCCCTTTTGTATCATGTACTGTCTTGTACTGGAAGGATGGACTTTTTGGTTTCATATACAAGAAAAAGAAACGTGTTCAGGAATGTCAACACCTGTGCATGCTTGATAATTTGATACATAGAGGAGGGGTCCATATTTTATCTTTTCAATACTGAGCATCTTTTCAGTGAGGTTGTTATTCGAATAAATTCGATTAAGAGAGCAACGGCACCGTGAGATTATATGATATGACTGTTTGTCCCTTTCACTTCTCGTCTGATTGATGCCTAGCTTAATTTGGGAAGCCTTGATTTGGAAATAGCATATGCCAAAGTCATGACTGGGGGACCACTAGTTTAGTTTGTTCTCCAAGTGGGGAACTAGAAATGCACTTTGGTTACAAATATGCATAGTAAGTATGGATTTTTCTTCAATTTCCTAAGTATTAAACTGGTTCTGTTCCTTTTATCCTCAAAACAATTCTGGACAAGTATTACCACATTTGTGGTTTCTCTGCTTCTGTTGCTGCTTTCCCAACTAGTGTGGTCCCAGTTTACCTAGGTAAAAATAAGCTAAGCAGATGCCATAATGGCTGTCAAGTTCAAAAGAGCTGCACAGTCTCCACCTGCAATTTCAGTCTTAGTTTTAGCAATTGAATTGTCTTCCTGATGGATATTCCAAGACTTATATGTCTCATGTTCTATTCCTTCTGGCTGCAGCGCATCTCAACTCTTGGAATCTCTTCCTCTTCCAAATGTAAGCATATATGTGTCCCCAATTATTTGTAAGCTTGAGGATTTGTATTTCCATTCACACATGCACATGTCACCACTTTGTTCAACCTGTGAGTAAATTAACTTTTTAAGATACAAATATGAAACAGATTAAGTGGATCTGCCCAACTGCTCCTACCCGTCCTGTGGCTATACTCGGTGGATTTCCTTGCACTGCCTGTAAGATTATGTTTAGTTTAAAACTTTAGGTGTATTCGTAGAAGGTCATACCTCTACAGTTTATATTCTCATAAGGCAAGCTCTTGTGATGCTTTGGTGTTGAAAATAATCTTCTGTATTATGTGATTCTTTATCAGGGTTTGAAATGGGAGAGCTTTCAGACGATGGTCCAGATGATTGGGAGAGTTTAGATGCTTCAGCAGCACATATTGCGAACTTGTTGTCAACTGAGCCAGCTGATGGTACTTTCAAGGATAAACTACTTCAAAATGATTAACTTCCGGGGATTTTTTTTTTCTTACACTTCTTACGAATCATCATTGTTAAAACCTGCACAATATTTCAAGAAAGTTTCCCAAACAGCAAGAATTCCACCTTATAGCCAATCATCAAGTTTTTGCAAACACATACTAAATTTATTATAAGCTTTGCCACTTCGCCTTTTAACAGACCATCTGAAATCAAAGTTTCTATTTTTCATTTGCATGCTATGCTATTCCCTCTTCAGCTTTCAGGGTTAAGTCTAACACCATTTCATGTTTCCCAAAATTAAGTTTAGCATCTTATACTATGGTGATGCAGGAGCATCTATTAGACTTACGCCCTGCATCATATAGAATAGCAAATTCTGAGGCAAGAATTAAATGATGTGTTATGTTGATTGTTTTCACTGCTGAAGTTTGAATAGCCTATCATGTTTTCTTGTGGCAGTTAAAGTCGGTATTGGAGGCTTTAGTATGGGTGCTGCGATGGCCCTTTATTCTGCAACTTGTTATGCTGCGGGTAGGTATGGAAATGGCAACCCATACCCTCTCAATCTGAGGGCAGTTGTTGGACTAAGTGGTTGGCTTCCAGGAGCAAGGTATGACTTTGTATAGAGCCTTCGTTAACCAACTCACTCTTGCAGTTAATGTTTTTCCTGGAACCTGCGAAAGAGATTAGTATTTGATGGCTTTGCCCAACTGTTTTCTTATAATGTTCCACCTGAAGTACGACAAGATGGGCCTTTTTTTTTCTAATAATTGTAAACATTAAACATATGCATTTCCAGAACAGTCCATCCGGCATCTGCTCTATTTTGATGGTACCTGTTGAACTGAGTATCAATATTCAAAGACTCCCATGTTTGATAGTTTAAAGGTTTGTGCAGGAGCTTACGGAACAAAATTGAAGGGTCACATGAGGCTGCAAGGCGTGCCGCATCATTACCCATTTTGCAATGTCATGGAAAAAGTATGTCTCCGTATAACCTTTTGCCAATATTGCATTTGAAAAATTTGAAAGGTTTCTAAACCACTTGATATGTCACACAGCAGAAGCTAGTGTGCACTGAAGAATTTTAACAATCAATATGTGAGACTCAATCCAGTTTTTATGGATAGTAGTATCTTTGTGGCTTTAATGACAGATAAGTCATAGAGGGTTGGTAATTTATTTGGAGCTTCAGCTTAGCTTTCTGGTTCACTTGTACTTCTTGAAACTGATGTCTACTGGTGCAACAACATTATTAGCCAAATAGAATTTGAAACCTTTGTAAAAAAGAGAAAATAGAATTTGAAATCTTGTTTAGAAAGATGTTAAAAAAGAAACATGCCCAAAGCCCAGTTTTGCATTACAATTCTTGCACATTTGCAGAAATAATTTTCAGAACTAATCTTCATTGGGTTGTTGTACATTTTAGGTGGTTCTAAGATGATATGTTATGGTAACCAATATGTGAAGAAGTTATAAATCTTTGCTGGATTAGTGGAACCTCTTTGACCCTTTTATCCTTTTGTGCCATGTAGATGATGATGTAGTCCCTTACAAATATGGAGAGAAATCAGTCAACTCCTTGAATTCAGCAGGATTCCGATACCTTACGTTCAAACCCCTTGATGGGTAAGGATTAATTTTCTATTAGCAAAATTATCTAGAACAATCTCTTTCATATATTTATTGCTCTTGTTCGGGGTCAAACGTAATGGATGAGATTTAAGCAGATTTTCTGAGTAATTGGTTCGACTTTGCAGGCTTGGTCATTACACTATCCCTAAAGAGATGAGTGAAGTCTCCAGTTGGCTTTCTGCAAGGCTGGGGCTTGAGGGGTACCGCTCATAAATCTGACAGTGTCTAATTGGAGATGGTGTGGGAGTAGTAGCTAACAATAATGAGTGAGAAACGCACATGTACAAGTAGGTGCTATACAAAATGGGGCATGGAGTATATGGTATAGCGAAATTGACCTTTCTAATTCCCTTTTGTATTCTGTCTTTCCTACAAATAAAGTTTTGGGTGTGCTTTTATGTTCCACTTGGAGGATGTAGAGCTAGTGGTGATTTAGTTTTGGATGTATTTAGTTTGGGCATTCGTTTATGTGATTTTATTATTAATAATTAGTGGAGTTCTACTCTCTCTCTCTCTCTCTCTCTCTCTCTCTCTCTCTCTCTCTCTCTCATACTGAAAGATTACATCTTGCTCGTACTTAATAGTGAAGGAAGAATGCAGCAACATAGTAATTGTAAGTTTGCAACTCAGGTAAATGTCTACTTGGAATTATAAGAAAGGAAACTAAGATTGTTAGTCATTTGACTTAAAATACAACCATTTCATCTACTAAGCACATCTCCACTACAAGTCCCACCTTTGCAGTTTTCACAATGAGCATCCATAAAGCATGTCGGTTGAGGAACAGAACCAAAATTCTAACACCTGTGAAAGAAGCGCCAGTACAGATTATAGACTTTATATATCAACAGGATTACAGTACAGAGAGACACGAAAAAGAAAAACAAAAAGAACCTGCAAAATAATCCAAGGACTAAATCTTTAAATGACAATTACACTTGATATTACAAAACTTTTGCAATGGTATTACAATGAAGGCCAACAATTAGCACTGCCTTTTGCAACAAGGCTTACCAAACTTCTGGAAATACAGAAGAATTCTTTCACTGAGCTTGTAAAGTTGGAAGCAGATCGATAGATGATGTCCTGCAGAAGACAGTAAGTTGTACGCAGATTTTCTACAATCAGATGATAAAGCTATCTGAGTCATGCCTTGCCCAACTCCTTGTGTGTTGTCCAAATGTTCTTGTTGGCAGATTATTTATCATCATTCTCAATTTCATTAGTGCCTTCTTTGGAATTACGGTGCGGTGTAAGAGGAGGGAAAGAAGGCATAGCCTGCAAAATGAATTTGCGGCCACTTCTCAAGCCTGTTGGAGATCTTTCTCTTAACCGGGATCGGGATTGTGGAGGTGACACGCGTTTCTGATTTGGTGAGCTAGCCTTTACAACCTTGGTGGGGTTAGAAGTTTCCTTGAGTATCTCAGGTGTATCATCATAGGGTATGTGATAATGTGCACCTGCACCATCAGAATTGAGATCATGGGGACCCTGCCCTTCAGATAATTCCGGGGTAACAATGACGGCTGAACAGCCCCAGTGAAAGTGGCCAGTACCTGATGGCTGAAGCTGACTTGATGGCAACTGGGCTTGTGGAATTTTTGCAGAGTTACTTGATGAAGCTGAAGAAAAAGCTGTGCGTGAGCAAGGATGTGACAAAGGTGTAAGCTTGCTTATATCAGAAATTCCTTCCCATGTCGGTGAGTAATGATTGATACCCGGGGCCTTGATGCAAGCAATAGCACCCTTCACATTATCCAGATTCTCAGATGGGTGGGCTTCCCACCTTTTAGCTCTGTTATATATTGGTTCTGTAAGTGTAGCAACATGGAAAAGTAAGAAGTCCCTATCAGTGAAGGGTTAAACGAACAAAAGTGAAACCATCCTAATGAAATGTTAAATATTCGTTTCATAAAATTTACCATTCTGTGAATGCTTTCATGCATGCTTACTAACCTATTGAAAGCTCACTGATTGAAAGGAGCAAGATTTAATAGCACTACATGTCTTAGTATATTCTATGTGTACTGCTGCTTGTTGAAGCACATGAGTACAAAAAGACAACTTAAAAAGATTTTGAGGATTTCGAATTCTTAGGCACCTGTCAATGAATTTGTTGAAACAAAAAAGTAAAACATTATAAAAGTGATTTCAAGCTGTATATTTGCTATTCACCGACTGAACTGTATGATAGCGGTGCAGTGACTTGATTTGCTAGCAGATAAAAAAGGGAGAAGCTGAAGAAACAATTGCATCCGCAAAAGAAACTTCTGACGTCCGGATAAGAGAAATTTTGTATATATATAAACAGTGTATATAAAGTTCTGTTGTTTCATTTTCTTTGCAAAAACACAGTGGTCATAGAAAATTCGGATATTAAAATTTATATTAAAATATATGAAAAAATAAAGAACGCAGAATCATTACAAACAAAGAGAACCATAACCTGGAGTAACGCCAAACGTATTTTTGCAACCCTCACATCGACACGCGCTGGAACATCCAACTTTAGCCTTGGGAAAGGAGCAAAAGAAAAACAGAGATGTCAAATCCAGATAAGTCAAGGACATATCAATACTAACCAACTTCCTAATCCAAATTTTGTCCAACGAAGTTGTTGCTTTTTAGGCTCATTTAATTGAAATTATGAAAATCCATATCGCGTTAATTATAGATATTCTATAATGTGTGTAACAGTTTGGGAGGGGCCACCAGAATTCTTGGAGAAACACCATTTTTCTGATATCACAAGCAGTAGATATACTGAAGTGAAAGCTATAAATGTACATATAAACCTGGAAGCATTCACAGTATCTTTTCAGACACTTTGACTTCTTGCAATTGCAACCTCTCTTGTGCCTGGCTGAGGATGGGGTCGTCAAGTCCTGTTCTTCCTGTGGAGTTCTTATGCTCAAAATGCTTCCAAATGAGAGACATAAAAGAACAAGATATATACTTTGACAGGGATTACCGTAAAGTTGGGCGAAGAATCAATGGCATTGTCGACAACTTTTGGAGTAAATGCAAGTGGATTACGAGCTTCAATTTGCTGACGTATATCAAGAACTGTGTCCTCAAACTCAGGCTTGTTATAGCAGTTTACACATGCACAAGAATCCACACAATAAACGCCAGCTGCAAAGCACTCACAATAACTGCCAATGATGAAGAACAAGCTGAGACAAACTGCAAGAATGAATGGTGAATTGTATGTACTTATTTGTCAACAAGTTACCCCGGGAAATTTGTTGTTTATAAGGTCAACTGAGATGCTTTTGCATCAAGGGTTCTATAGGGAAATGGTTGACAAAAACTGAAGTCTAGAAGAACAATTGATAGACCATCTTTCCTAATGTATGATATGCATTCCAATATGTTTCAAAATGAAAATAGGTGCTATTCGCTTGCATTCACTTACAGTTTCAAGCACTTAGACCTCCTACAGTTGCAACGTTTGCAGCCCTCACTCATGTATGCATCTTTCCTCCTAAATGCATTTCAAACAGTGTATTAGGTGAGCCATGTAAAAATAAAAAATGATGATTAATACACTGATAATATTGTACTTACCTTTTCCTTTTAGGGCTCAGTTGGTTTAACTCCTCAACCTCGTCAGCCTCCTGTGAAGTAGACATACCCACCTCACAAAGAGCTGCCTCCTGGTCAACGAGCATAGAATGACATGGAGGCTTCATAGTATCTGTAGAATGAAAAGTGAAAGAACTAGCTTCAGTAACAGCTTGGCTTTCCTGCTGACCACTGGCCACATGAACATAAATTTTTCCAGGTACAGCTGAAGTCAAGATACTACTTGAGTTTGTTGCTATGTTGTTGCTGCCATGCTCTAGCATCTGCTCTGGCATTCTCAGATACCCAGTTGATTTCTTGCTTGAACAGATATCGGAGCTCAAGGATGTAGATCTAGAAATGCGATTCAGATGTAAACCAATACCAGAATGGATGGGAGCGGAGGTGGTAGAGTTTACACCAATTTGGGCTGATGTAAATGACTCATAGGGGGAGGAAGGGAATTGTGAGGTGTCACAGCTCACATCCTGCGGACTGCTTGAGGCTCTGTTATCAAAATGAGAGGAAGCTAGACTCTTCAAGTTTGTTAGAATAGATGGTGACCTTGAATTGGTAGCATCATGTGTCAGGCTACAAGGACTCTCACTGTTACCAAGGATAGTGAACTTATACGCTTTTGCAGCCTCAAATTGAAGATGCCTACATATACCACGTTCATTTTGACCACCCTCCTACATTTGAATACAGAAATTATTCAATTGCATGTGTGAGTATTTCGTTTGCATTACATACATAGAATTGCTTACTTATGTGTGAGTGACGCATAAGTGAACAATAGGCGATATAATCCATGTAAAAGAAGAGTTTAATAAGAAATAGGTCAATCTCTAACTATTGGCCTAGAAAGGAGAAGTTTATATATGGACATGTATAATTATATATACAAATTCTTCCACTGCTGCAAATGAGGAACATTACTTTTGACATGAAAAACTTCCAAAGATAAAATATCAACATAGTACAACATTATTGATCATGAGCCAACTAAGAAAAAGATATCTTATATATGATTTATACCTTAACCAATCCTTTTTGTACTCTTTTCTTGTGCTCATTTGAATGGCGTGACTGACTACTAGCATTTTTTTCATCATATTGACAACCTGCCCTCTGCAACTTAACATTGAGAGAAACCAACATTTTAAAAAATAAACAAATAACCTCCAGCTTGATCATTAAACCGAATGTTCATAATTTCATGTTAAACTGTAAAATGTACTGAAGTACCCACATTCACCTTAGCTGCATTCTCTCCACAATTTTGTGCTCTGGAAACAAGACATGCATTTACATCAGACTCCTTGACTTTTTCAAATATAAACCTTGAGAGCTCTTCAGTCTTTTTACCACCCTTCTGATTGATTGCAGCTTGACTCATTTCAAGTGAACTTAAAGGCAGATCCTTTTCAGCTTGATCTGATAATAAAACAGCTTCATTCTCTGGGCTACCAAACATAATATCACAAACTTCTGTATTGGATTCTTTGCCGGGAGAAAAACCACTGTGTAACAACCGAGGGACTTCATTAGTTCGTTGCGAGCGCAAATCAGCAGAACATGTAGAGTCTACCTCCACAGGGTCAGCCAGATATTCATCAACACAACCTGAAGGACTGCACAACTGGACCTCCTCAAAACTTGGATTCTGAATCTGGACTATATTTGTGTTACATTCTTTGTATACCTCTGAACCTGCTTCAACTATATCATCCCTGTAAACATTTAGGAAAAATATTTCTAATGAAGAGTAAAAAAAAGTTACCAGGTTGATTCAGTTAGGAAACAAGAGATTAAACCAAATGGGGGAATAAATAATCTAGTGCAGTATCATAAATCGACGCAATCAGAATGCAAGAAACTCATGAAATTAGTTAAACATCTCACACCTTTCCAAGAAACTGGTTTCTCGCTGTAGATTA